TCTTTCTAGGTCACTGTTTCAACAATAGACTAATTCTGTTATACAACTATAGTAACAATGGACTAATTCTAATAGACTACTGCTACATCTAGAATAATTCTCATAGAATGTTGTTAGAATTTTCTACTAAACTCCCTTAAAGTACTGTTATATCGGTAGGTTATTAACTTTTATTTCCAACATATTCAAAAATCATAAAAAAATTGCTGAGCAAAGCAAGTAGGAAGAATCAGACGGTGTCTCTTTCTTAGTTGAAATCCCATTTGAAAGCCTGTACGTATTCATATAACATGTTGACTATATAATGACAAGAACTCTTAAAAACAATATGGAAACTAAGGTCACAGAATCTAAGGATACGGTGCGAAATATATCAGTTAATTATAGTCTCTACGGAAAACCTTGTACAAAAAGGGCCCAGCCCAACGTACACGAAATAAGTAAATATCCTTGATCCTTTTGTCATTTACCATAAGGTCGCCTCTACCAAATTCAACGTTAAACATCTGACCTTGTGTCTGTTCTCTGATTGTTGAAATTAAAAACTTGCCTGCTAAATACTAAACTGTTTCTAGGTTATACTGTCAATGTAACATATTCCACTAGTAGTCTAAAACTCACCTGTTTGTCTAAGTTAACCACGAAGAGTAGAAGCGGCGAAATGATCGCTAAAATAAAACATTTTCTACCCACGTGGAAGAAACCTTTAATAATTTCAATTCTAAACTTATTTACCAACGTAACTTTCTTTACGAGTGCAATAACAAGTATTTTTAACTCAAGTGTTTTAAATCTTAAGAAATATTTATTTGTTTTGGTAAAAACATAACTATCTACCGGTCTTGTTGTCGGAATTTATATTTTTTTAACGTAAATTGTTATGTTATTTTATGAATTGAGATACCTGCTTTTTTTTCATAAAAAACAGAAAACATGAAAGTACTTGATAATTCATTTAACTATTTTCTACACACAATTGTCGTTTTATTTATTATAAGTTGACCCCTAGTCATGATTTTTAACTCAACCACCTATTTATTTAACACTCGAAAAATCTGGAAATTACGCGAATGTTTCAATTCAATAGCAGATTTGTAACAATTAGGCCTTTTCTTTCTTTGGACCACCATATGATTTAATATTACTTTTAATTTTATTTTGGAATTATATTATTATAGGCATTCTTCTTTATCACCGTCAAAAAATATTTGAGAAGCGAAACTTACTGTTTCTACTTGCATGATGAACGTTTCACAACGTTCAGAAAGACACCTGGTGACATTTTTGTTTGTCAGAATGTCGACTATCCAACACTTGAAATACAACAAAATCTTAAAATAAATAACAAAAGTAATAATAAAAAATGTGTATAAACTACAGTAAGTTACCATAAATACGTGAAGTTGACATGTAAAAATATTTCACGTTTTCATTGATAAGAAAAGTATTGGTCATACCTTATTTAAAGAATTGTCTCCCGACCTTGGTGGCTCGGGAGTGACAGTTAAATCCAGCTATTATATCAGAAAATATTAGCCCAAGAGATGGCGTTGAGGCTGTTGAATAGCTGCCTTCCTTTTCACTTCGAAAATAAGGATGGCTAAGTGCTTATAATCATATGTGATTTTTCACTTCGAAACTAAGGGCGGCTATGTGCATATAATCGTATATGATACGCGTAGCTTTGATCCAAAAGTCTTGAAAACAAGCTAGCATTAAAATCTTATTCACATCTTTAAATGAATTGTTATTTTATGAATAGAAATAGTGTGTTTGTTTGTTTTGAATTTTGCGCAAAGCTACACGAAGGCTATCTGCGCTAGCCGTCCCTAATTTAGCAGTGTAAGACACTATTCGTTGGTAAAAGAGTAGCCCAAGAGTTGGCGGTGGGTGGTGATGACTAGCTGCCTTCCCTCTAGGCTGAAAGGGAGAGCATGTTTGATGGGACGGGGATTCGAACCCGCGACCCCCAGATTGCGAGTTGAGCTCCCTAACCACCTGGCCATGCCGGACCCAAATATACTGAAAACGTACTACGTTTAGAAATGAAATTCGGATTTCGATACCTGTGGTGGACAGGCAGCCTATTGTGTATCTCTGCGCTTAACAACAAATAACCAACTCTTTAAATGTGGAAATCTTGAAACGTTGCATTATGTACGATGTTGTCGTAAAACTAAGTTATTAATTATATTTAAAATCCATTTCTATTTAACGAATAATGATAATTTTCGTATAGAAATGAGCTTTTAATTTTAATTAACTCGTGATTTTTTTTTTAGGCTAAGAGATCAAATGGTCATGAACTTTATAATAAGAGGTTTGACTCCTCGAATTGTAATCTTATACATTTTAACTGTTGATAATTCGCATTTTCAGAAAATAAAAAATTATGTACGTTTTACTTAAAGGCCACAAGCTCTGGGAACGAGAGAAACGGTTGTTGCTTGAACAAGTTATGATTCTATGAGAGAACAGATTGAACTTGTGAGAAAAGTTTGGTAAAAAGTTTCTGTATACATACGAGTCCTTGGGTTTTAATGCCGCGTTGATTTGTTGGACTGGACGAGTGATCGTTTTATGGCTCAAAATTGAATGGGAACACTGCGATAATTCATTTTGATTAATAAAAAGTGATTAATCGTTTCTAAATGATTCGTGATGCAGTATCTGCGTCGAACATGCCACTCACCAAGATGAAAGACCGCGTGTTTAGTATAGGATCAAAGTACCACACACAGCGTCGAGCCCGATGATTTATTGAAACGTACGTCCTCTTAGACACACCTGCCTTAGGCTCTTCTAGGCCTCTTTGTACACATCATCTTTGCCGATCCAATGAGCCCTCCTATGCGGAGCCTCCATTAGGGTAATAATTATGAAGTAAATGTCCTTCTTGATACCGAATTATTGTTATGCTTTTTGTTGTTGTTTTTTGTTATTATTATTATTATGTTGTTGTTGTTTTTAATAAGGAATGGATGAAAGACCCATCAAGATGCCAGTAAGTTCTACGATTGGCGTTACGGGTGTGATAATACTGGACGTAAGTCTATATTCTACTAGAGATGTGTACTACACTCCACTATGTCCCGATATCCCCTCCGTGATGCCAGTAAGTTCTACGATTGGTGTTATGGGTGTGATAATACTGGACGTAAGTCTATATTCTACTAGAGATGTGTACTACACTCCATTATGAAACAGATAAGATCGCAAGTTCTGAAAAACGGCCACATTTTGTCTTGTATTTCAACAATAAAATGAAAACAACTGCCTACATTATTCTCTGCCTGAGTCCAGTAATCACCGTGCGACACCTGGCGTGTGTGTCATGTTTCACTAACTACCATGAGGGCTCCTTTAATAGTCATTACACAAGGTTTTTTCACCAGTCGGCCATTCAAGAGTTGCGCCAACAACAGAAAACATTGATAGTTATGCTCTGAGTGAGTCTGTACCCCGATCAGATTGGTTAACGTATCAGATAGTGAGCTCATAATGGTTGCTAACGGCACGGCAAACTAGATAATTAAAAGTCAAATGAAGAAAAAACCGAAGGAATAATGTCCAAGAATTTGTTGAAATATTTTGTCAATTTTTTAAAATAATTAAAAATATAAAACAAAACAAAAGTTGAAAAACAATTCCATAATGTTTGAAATGTATGATAGCTTTGTTCTATTCCGTGTAGCTCGCTGCAGTAACTTTGTTATACTCCTGTTTGAGATGTGCCAGGCCAAGTTGGTTAAAAAAAAGTCACAGACAAGAATTTCAGATGCAGTCAGTACCTAATTCACCAATTCGCCAGGCCAAGTTGGTTAAAAAAGTCACAGACAAGAATTTCAGATGCAGTCAGTACCTAATTCACCAATTCGC